TCCCACGTCAAATCCAAGCACCGAACCTTGGGGGACCCAGCTTTCACCATCTCTGCTCCCACTCTCTGGAACTCTCTCCCCCCTCATCTCAGAAACTTGGACTCACTAAACTCTTTCAGAAAAAACAGCTAGAAACTCACCTCTTCCTCTTAGTTTCAACTTTGTACTCTTCTTTCCTGCTTTTAGATTTTTTAGTTTGTCTAAATGTGTGTGTGTGTCCTGAATTGTGAAGCGTCTTTGAGTTTTTGAAAAGTGCTATATAAAACCGATGTATTATTATTATTATTATAATTAAGGACACAACAACAGTTTGGCAATGTACAGTACTTAATCCCCCATCACAGTACTAACCAGGCCCTGCCCTGCACGGGATCCGGCTTTTGTATTAAAGTATAGCCACAAATACATCTAAGGAACTGAGTTCACCAATGCCTTTTAAGTTTTGGGCATTTTTCATCCATTAAGTGATTTTGCAATGCAGACTTATGTATTTTGAACACCGTTCAAATGCTGTGTCAACCCTGGGCAACCGTGGGATATGTTGGCCTGTTTTTAAACCCCCACCGACTTTTCATTACGGACAACACGCATCAAAATGAAAGGATCAAAACAAACTTCAAACTTTTAAAGTTCTTCTAAAGTGCACCGAAGACTCTGAGGATCCAATGTAGTCCAGATTATTGCTTGGACTATAGCAATCATCTCGTCCAAATGGAGACATAAAGAGAGCTTTATAAAGGAAAGAGAAGTGCACACTAAAGCCCACACTCTGATGGTTAGAGCTTCACTCATGTTACCATGTCCTTGGAGGTATTTAGGATGATTCTGCCAGCTGTCTCTCTGTCTACCTCTAAAAAAGGCAAATGCCCTAATTTAAATTTGGTCCTCTACCATCATTCACCTCTTCTCAGTCAAACCTCCATCACCGTTTTTCGCTCAAGTGACTTCAATGCAGTTATTTAACCTTCTTCACCTAACCCACACAACATCACATAAAACAATTTGCTTCTATTTCTGTCTACATTAAATAAACATACATCTGCAAAAAGACTATAGGCAGGTTAAATGGTGAGTCGTTTGGGAAAAAGAATTGTTTTTGCTCAGTATGATTAAGCTTGATTCTGATGGGGAGCAGTCATTTTTTAACAATAGATAGTTAGATAGATAAATAGGCCTTAGAATAAAATGCATTGAGTAAAGCAGTCCATCTACAATTGATACTAATAGAAAATGTAAGAAAGATCCGACTGATTGAACTTAAAGGCATATAGGGTTAAAGTTATGTTACACTAATGGGACCTACCACACATCACTAATTCCACATGAAACATTCTCCAGACATGTCAGTGGATAAGCTGGAGGCCCATCATGATTCTGCCATGGTGGACCCGTGCTGATGGAGACTTCTCTGTGTTGCATTAAACATGTGCTACTGCCACTTGTGCAGTATTCATGAGCACTGTGGATCCAGGAATATGACAGCAGCAGACTGAGAGAAGCTGTGGGCAGACATATAGGGCAGGGGGCTGAGAAGGGCACAGTGCTTGGCTGTCTCACCTCTGAGAATGGGATTTTGAACAAGTCCTCCATCTATTTGCATGTGCTACCTGTCTATGTCTGCTTTTATTTTCAACCAAAGCACCACTATAAGCTAATTCTGCTCTGTTTATTAACCAAGAGCTGTCTGTTACATAAGTCACCGCTGCTACTTTAACGGACAAAAGCTTGACAAGAGCAAACGCCTTTTGTTTGACAATATATTAGCACCACTTCAAACCTGTTGCTATGTGTATGCTTTGAAAAACACACACATAAAAGGGCAAAAACAGCCATTTTTAATATATCTAACGTATATAATATGGTTTGCATGTACATGTATTAGTGTTCCTTATTGGAAGTAGCAAAAGTCAGTTGGATTATGCACATATTTCTTCTAATATGGCAAGAGCCCAAGTGCGTAAGAATCACCCATTTTAAAACAAGTGGAAATGTCGCAATTTGCTATTGAACTTTACAAAACCATGCACTTTTATACTACTACACAATATGTTGTCTGTGGTGGCAGTCGCTGGGTAGAAACATTCAGTGTGGAATAAATGTGTTCAAGTAAACTATAACCACTGGCATTTGGTCTTTCTAATTCAGCTCTGAAATAATTTAGTGTCTACACTTTGCCTGATCACAGTTAACATTGCGGTTACAGTACAGTGTTGTTGCTATGCAGCATCACAGCTCTCATTTAACCAACCAATATTCGCCTGTAGCACCAACACAAGACATCTGCATTTGAGCCAGCCCTAAGCGAACATCTGCGTGCTAGCTAGCCTGTGTGTGAGGACATGAAAACCTGTGTGCACTGCGGCTAAGAGAGTGAGCTTTGTCACGCGGCAGCAGGGAGAGGGGAACACTGCATTCAAAACGAGGATATCCCTGTTCTGCTCTGTGTGCAGCGAGAGGCACACCAGCCACATGCAGCCAATCAATTCACATGCACCAACATCGCTCATGGGAGAGAAGAGGGCTTTTCCACACACCGGCTTCCAACAGCGGACTGAACCTTCTACAAGACGTGTTCAAATAAAGACATAATGGCTCTTTATAGTATATGTTTCAGCCATTATATCTTAGCGTGAACATAAAGCTGGTGAGATGACAGATGCACATGCTGCTTTATCATAGTAAGAGGACGGGGTTTCCCTGCAACATGCTACATGGGAACAGTGTTTGTGACAACGCCTGTCTGATGTAATGTTAGTGGGTCTTATGAAATTTGCCAGTTCAATGGCAGTTTATTATTCTATTGATTCATTATGCGCAAACTTGTCCTCAACAAATAAAAAAACACTTGTGGGAGAATATGAAATATAAAAGCTCAAATAGAATATTGTGCAACTGGTAAGCTGTACGGGATTTCCCTTTGGTGGCTGCTTCCCAAGAACATGGTGTCCATGTTAAATGCCAGATATCAAAAATGAAATGAATGAGAAAAAAAAGGGAATATTTTTTTACGGAATCGATGCAATGTTTGATGTTATCTGTTGGCTCAAAGTCAAAGGCATTTCAAGCATAACCATGACAAATGTCAAATTCAGTACCAGTCTGAACTGTGGATACACTGGTTCACTGGTTCAGCTGTTTGCTTTTAGGAGTGACGCTTATTGTGATTATATGAGTTGTTATGTGTTTGCCTTAACCTGGACCACAAGTCTGTAAAACAAAGTTTATGTCTATGACTTTTACTATTATGCAATGAAGCTTCACATATTATACGTAATATGCACAGTCTCCATACTTTGTCATTAGTGGCTCAGACTTGAGAATGTCCAACCGATGGTGGATATATGACACCTTCATGGCTTGGTTTATAATAATAACAGCTGATGTATCTTATCTATCAATAGCTGATCTTCCTCTCAGTAGTAGTGGGTTGCCTCGCTTCCAATCATCTGGTCATCTAAAACTTGGCTTAACTTGAGTTGCCCTTCCCATGACCCTGGCACATGCCTGAAAGTGTATACGTTATATTGCTCTCGAACTCTCTGAGACTCTAAACCTGTGCATTGGGGAGAATCCTGCACAGACAGACCTGAAACATCAGTATAGTTGGAGCAGTAGTATAGTTGTTGCAGTAGTAGTAATTCTTTACCCATAATATTTATACAAATGACTCTCTCCATTCGTGTAACAACTGTATAAAAAATGAGGTTCCCTGTCATATTTTTCCTATGTCTTATTCCAATCATTCCCCAGCAGAGAGACCAGCCACATGCCTTATATGTGTTTAGAAAAAACCTTTGACAAGCTCAGCAGACCGCGCAGCTGGTTTGAGGATACACATGTCAGTTTCAGCCCTCTGTCCTACCCTGCTGTCTAACACATAGTCCCGCCCCGTTTAAGTCCATTCATTCAGAAATTATGGCCAGCTCTGATTGTGTAGCACGTATACCAGCCTGCACTGTGGCTCATGCATTACAGGTGTCTGGATGAGGACATGTTGCATGAACACAAAAGTATGCACCTGCAGCATAACATATTTCAGAGTAATCCATTTGCGCAAAGGCGAGCCAGTGCTTCTATCCTATATGCAGTGGAATGTGGTCTGAACAGGAGACAAGAAGCAGAGAAGTGGCAGTACCGGGAGCGCGGTGCACTCTCTGCGGCTGTTGGCAGCTGCAGTGCGCGCTTCAGCAACACTCACCTTCAGCGTGGTGTTGGGGTAGCCCACGGGCACCTTGTGGAAAGTACTGTTGGAGAGCACGGCCTGGCGTATGTCCTCGAAGATGGTAATGATATCATCCAGAAGGCAGCGCTTGTCCCGGTGGCTCAGCACGCAGAGGTGAGCGAACGTGTAATTGAATCCCTTATAATTGACGTGCAGCTCCAGGACTTGCTTGTGCACTTGGAGAACCTGGTCCGCCAGCTCCAGGATGTTCCCTCCAGCGCGGGCGAGAAGGATGAGCCTGCCGTACCTGCCCGGCGTGTGCAGATCCGAGTAGAGCTTGTGCTTGGACTGATCCACAGGGAAGAGGCTGTTGGCCAAACTGCGCTCGATCTTGGCCAAACTGTGGGTCGGGGCCACCAGCACTTCCAGATTGGTCTCCGGTTTGAATCGACTGAGCACAGTGGAGCCAAAGATGATGGTGAGCACGGCGGGCACGGTGAGGAAGAAGACGGGGTGCCTGCTGACGAACAAGCCGAGCCAGTAGAACGACGCCTTGAGCCCTCTGTGAATCACTTGCCGCAGCATTCTCCTCAAAATCCAGCTCGCAGAAGCCCCGTCTCCTCCGATCAAGCACATGTGACATCAGACCCCAACCCTGGCGTAGTCCAAGTCCAAGAGAATTGTCCCTCCTCACGCACGCACCACATACATACACTCACACAGACACACGCGCGCGCACACAGACACGCACGCACACCTGGCTGGACGCGTATACGGCACTGCAGTATACAAGCAGTCAGACGCGCGGCGGGGTCGGACGGACGCAGCAGCGCGGCCGCTAGTTCTCCGCGTCTCGTCGCCTCCCGTGTCGAGCCATGTTCATGTGACAGAGGCGCATGCACACACGCGGGCTCGATGTGCGTGTCCTTCCGTGTGCCGCCTCTCTCTGCGCCGCGCCGTGCATGTGGTGGGAAGGGAGGGTAGAGGAGGAGGCTGGACCAGTGAGGATGAGGATGGCGCTGGAGAGAGGAGGAGAGAGGATTGGGGAGGGAGGAGGAGGAGGGTGATGGAAGGAGGGGAGGGGGTCTGCAACAGGAGAGAGGAGTAAATGCCGCAGGTGGCTCACGCGCGCCCTGACCGCTATACACAGCATCAGCATCATCAGCATCAGCAGCAGCAGCAGCAGCAGCAGCAGCATCAACAGCAGCAGTTGTGCACATATACAGTGAGGGTGAGTCAGTGGCTTCATGAATGGGGAAAACCCAACAACGGCTCGGAGCTCCACGCTGTGAGAGGTCCGTACTGGTGGCTGCCTCTCCCACACAGGAGACCGGTACAACACACCTCCCTCACGCACGGCGGGTTCGTCATGTAAGGCGGCTATTACGGCTCCATAACCAGTAATTACCACGTTATGTGTAACTGGTGGTGCCTGCGGGGCCGTGAGTGGCAGGTTTGTAAGACTTCAGGAAACGTCAAGTGTTAAAGGTGCAATGTGTGGTCAATTCAATTCTGGTGAGGTTATTGCGATATAACTTTCTATACCTCAATCAAATGTATTCATTTATAAAGCTCTTTTCATACAGAAGATAATCCAGAAGATACCTATACTAATATGGTAGAAATCTATTTCAGTTGGAGGGCAGGTGCAGTTATGATGTTCAATACCTTGTAAAAAAGAATAATAACTTAACAGCATAACTGACCCTGTATACTACCAAACTGTCTCTGTGTCCAATGGCAACCACTTTACCCACATTTTCTAGTATGAGTCTGGTGTGTGTGTGAATGATTGGCTTGGTTGGTTGCCTTGCTCCTCTCAGTCTCTCCCAGGGCAGACGTGGCTAAAGAAATAGAATCACCTTGTGTTAAATTGCCGTGAAGCCTCTTTGAATGTCCCAAAAAGCGCTATATAAAACCAAAGCTTTCATTTTATACCTCCTCCAAAACTATAAGCAGCAGTTTATGTACAAATTTGAAGTCAAAATGTCAACTATATATCAAAAAGAGAAAAATAATGCAACTATGCTTTTGATTTGGTTGAACTAAGATGTGCAAGACGATTTTTATTTGTTTACAAAAAGAATCTGGAAATGGGCAAAACACTATACACTAAAATCCAGTTTTACCTAGCAACACCCACACTATATCCATCCACTGGTTATAATTATGAAAAATCAATATCTGCGTGTCCATATAAAGGATTTGACCCTCATATTGCAGTCTGACAGGTGCAGTGAGCACATATGACCTTGGAGTGCGTCTTCTATTGAACACTGAAAGAACCACTGTGTAATTACAGCCGTGATGACAGCGCTGACCTTGTGCCATTTGATGCTCGTGTCACGTGTCTGACGGACATCCATCATACAACAATAACAATCTCCACCATCTCTCACGTCCGTCTTTTGTAACATGCATGAGGAAATTGCCCGAGGATCGCAATCATTCCCACGGACTGTTTAAGAGGATGGCCCGAAGATGTTCACAGAGATCTCAGAAAGACCCCAATGTAAATGTACTTTATTAGGATGGAATGTTTTTGTGTTCAAAGTTTATATTGGTCTGCATGTGTGTGTGTGTGTGTGTGTGTGTGTGTTCATTATTTAAATCTATGTATTGAGAGAACGTGAAGATTGTGGCTGGGTGGTTTTATACTAACTTGTATGGTAAATTAAATAGTGTTTTCTGTCTGATAATGTAAGTTAAGATACACTTTATGGATCTTACAATGGATCAATTAATTGTGTGATGGCCATGTATCTATCATGTATCCATCATGTATCTATCAATGTATGGTCATGTATCCATCTACTTCTATTTTACTATTTTTAGAACTACCTGTTCAGGGACTACAGGTGTAAATTAGTACTGCTGCTACAACCTGGTACAATGCATTCTCTCCTCTTGGCTAGTGTTTTACAGTATGTACACTGTCATACTCTGCCATGCCATGCCATACCAACAAATGGCAAGGCAGGACACATTTACTTGTATAGCACAGTTCATACAAATGGCAACCTTAAAGTGCTTAACAAAACCAGACAGTATATTCAAATCATGGAAGGCATTAAGATAATACATAATCACAAGATCAAAACTTTATTGATCTCACAATGGAGAAATTTACATGTCATATTTGGCGTAGATAGAAGCACTCAGACTGTGCAAAAAGACAGAAATGTGCAACATGTTAAAGGTTAAAAATATAGTCTGTGGAGGATATAATTATGTACAGTAAAAAAGTGGCAATAGCAGTGCTGGTTTTTAATTCGTAGTGCATCTTCTCAACAAGAGTGAAGATGCAATCCTTCAGTTTTGTGCACAGCTAAACATAC